CCACGGGCTCCCTCATCGTGGCGCTCACCTCCGCGTCGCTGGTCCTCGGCGATGCCTCGGAAGCTGCGGGCGGATGAGCTTGCCACCGTGTGCCTCTTCCAGGAGAACATGCCCTCCGTTGTCTACATCACCAACCTCGCCGTCAGGTGGGCCTCCTTGTCCCCGTCCCAAGGCTCGTTCGCCATGGACGCGACAGCTTCCTCGCCCTTGCCCGACAGCAGCACACGTCTCAATCGTGCGCGCTCTCGTCGCCAAACGCAGCACGCGACACAACGGCGTTGGCGTACTCGGTGGGAGCTCGCTGAGGTCGACGGCCGCGCCTCCGGCGTCGGCGCTGGCTCGGGCGGCGACGCGAGCGGCTTCCTGCTCTGGAAACGGCGAAAGGACTCGACGCAGCGTGCGCTGAGGAGGTGGACGACGCACACGCGGCGCGCCTGGCGCTAGTACTCCCCGTAGGGCGCGAACACGACGTCGTGGCCATAGAGGAGGCGCTCGGCCATGGTGCTCCGGGGCCGGCTCGCGAACGCCAGGTGGGCATGCGGCCTAGGCGGAGCAGCAGCAGGACGTGCGTGTGCGCCAAGGATGCCAGCGAGCGGTGCGGCAGCGCGCCCAGCAGGTGGAGGTGGCCCAGCAGTGGGATACCCCGCGGCGACAGCGGCAAGCGGCAGCAGCAGCCTCCGGCCATCGTGGCGTGACGTGGGAGCAGCAGCACTAGCGGGCTTCTTTTTCCGCCGGCGACGACGAGGAGGAGGACGTAGGCGAGCGGCGCGGCGACGAGGATGGTGAGCAGGAGGGCGACGGGAGCAACTTGTTGTTCGAGAGCCATGTTTGAGCTGACCGAATGTGCATGGAGTCAATATAAAAAATGCTCCCTTCCTTTTTGTACATGCATGGAGCCTTTTGTTATCGGGCCCACTGCTTATCCACGGTTGCCATTACGAGTGGACCAAAAGTCAACATAAAAACCACTCAACATCGGTCAAAACAGCCTTGCCCCTATCCCAGTTGCTAAAAGTGAACAGTTTTGACAGTTGGGTTACTGATACTAGACGGTTTTATAGTTGAGGGTTAAAATTAAACCAACACGATAGTTGAGGGACCAAAAGTGGACTTAATCCGAAAAAACTATTATTTGAAATAGAGCACGTATGGCTAACTAAACAGATACGTATGTAGAACACTTTTTATGTAAACTAATAAGATCATGTTTGGATCTCATAAAATTGAGGACCACTTTAGCTAACTTGTGTGATCTAATAAATTAATGATTTTTTTGTAAGGTTTATTAAACTTTAGTGAAACTCTATCTTTATATCTATCCTAACCGATAGAAATAGAGATTTGGCGGGAATAAAAAGTCTCCAACCACGGGCGGAGCCTCGTAGAGGCGAACCTGGGCTCTTGCCCCCCTTGCTTGCATGTTTTTATTACTGCATATAGTACTATTCTCGCTATATTGCTCTGTGAAAAGTTCTTTCGTGAAGCTATGAAGCATATGAAAAGTAGAAAGCCTAGGCTGCAGCCTGCACAGAACAAACACAAAATGGTAGAAGAGCCTAGTTATGATTGCCATTGAAAAAAAATTAGCCTCTGCTTGTTTTCTCTGCACGCTCCGCCACTGTCCCCAACGGCTTCTTAAACTTCTATTCTAGATTTCTTGCTAGTTAAAAAGAAGGAGATAGAAATTGGCTCTCTAAAGTGTGCACAGGATATAAAGAATCTATTCAAGGATAGTAGATATGGAGAACGATTTTTATTTAAATGACTCTCCAAATAATAATTAGAGAGTGGTTCTAGGAGAGACTCTCGGAGATGCTCTTCAACCACCAATTTGAAGCCTCAAGAGTTAAGAGAGTTTTAAATTTAGTGGTTAAACTTTAGATCATAGAATCCAAACAGGTCCTATGTCATCAAAGTGCCACGATATTGAGTCGCGCCATCGCTAATGCCTCTAGCTAGCTGAATCACACCAAAGTAGACGACATGACTGAGTAGGTGAGTCATATCACCACCTATGGCGTGATACATATTTTTGTTCGGTGGTTCTTAGTTGTTAGGTGTTTTGATGTTTTTAGTTTTTTTGTCGATCTAGAATAAAGGACCTACGTATATCTAAAAAGTTCTTCGAATTTTTCTAGTAGATGTTATAAAATAAGCATGATCCGTTTTGCTCACTACTCACCTAAACGATCGTTTAGCCCGTTTACGCACCATTAAAATGCTACACAGTGGTATGCCATTTTCATTTAATTGGTCGTTATCCAATTTTAACAGTTGTTTTGCCCGAATAATGAGTAAACAGCAAGTCACCGACTCTTACTAATTAGCATTTAGGAGAATAATGGTTTTGCTTGCATCATCATACCTCTTACACTTTTGAAATAATAGTTCTTTTCCGTATCGCTGTATTCGAGTCCTAGGTTAAATTGATTAGCCTCAAAATTGACTGCAAAAATCCAAAAAAAACATCTAGTTTCATGGTTTGGAAAAGTAGAATTTGTCATGTAATTGCTCAATATATGTGTTGAGGCAAAATCTGAAGTCTCTTAACAAAGCACATGCACAAAAGCCCTAATGCATTGTACATTAAATGTCTCCAAACACCAAACAACTTACATTCATCCTATAGAATCATGACTATTCACAAATATCCTTTATACCATACTTTATCACACATCTTCAAGGCCAAGACACCATGGCCCAATCTTGTTTCAAACCAATGTGATTATCCGCTACAAAATACACATTAGTCCACAAGCACTTGTGTTTACGATCGACAACCCCTCTGCCCCAAGTTACCAAGTCAAGGCCTAGATGCGTTCAATGTGTGAGTTGTGAGTAGGTTATTGACCTGGAAGCTGGAACCAACCAAGTGATCCAGGCCATGTATCATATAAAATCAGCGACCAAGATTACAAATAGGTAGAATTCATTTTCAAACATTTTCCATCCTAAACTATAAATTTGGACACGCCTTGTGCTCTCTAACTATCGAAAGTGGACAAAACACAGCCCCATACCAACTCTACCTTAGTTTCCATCCCATGCGGTGTTTTGCATGGAGTGCTTTAGGTAGAATTAGGTGTTGAAATCTAAATGTCACTTTAGAGCATCTCCACCAGATTGAAAAAACTCAATCCCCTTGCCCCATAACCAGTGATATAGGGGATTTGGTAGGAAAAAAACTACCTCCAGCAAATCCCCTTTCAGAATCCTTTTTCCTTATATTTTCCCTCGGTCCCTCAAAACCTCCCCACAATCCCTCGAAGAAAGGGGAAGAAGCTCAGATTTTTCTCAATCCCCTTTCTTCCATTGTTCGCGAACACCATTGGATTTTCGGCATCCATGGCCAGCATGCACAAAGAGAGGGAAAGGGAAGGGAGAAGAAAGGAGATTTCTAATGATTGACAAGTGGGTACATTTAATAAAGGAGATAAGATTTTCTCAATCTAGTGCAGCAACACTTCACTATAGCTCACAATTGTGCTTTTTCAATCCCCTACAACAGATTTCAAGGAGAGGGGAACAAAGATTTGGTGGAGATACTTTTAGTCCTTGTTTGAACACGCATGTATCCACCTTAATACATGTGTGTCGGAGCGAAGTCGAACTTAGTTTAATTTCATTCCAATCCAATTCAACACAAATAGAATGGGGTAGATATATGTGCATCCAAACAAACGTTTAATAGAATTGTGTTACATATATTTTTTTTTTTTGCAAATGTATCTTTTAAAGTTCATTTGGATTTGTCCTAAGTAAAATTCTTTTTTAGTTTTGACAAAGAGTATCTAAAATTATATTTATTTATTGATACGTGATTTTTAATACAAAATTGACGTTGTTAAAAATACTCGTGGTTTTAATCTATATATGACATATATGCTTATATTAATAGAGTGGTTGTCAATCGAAGTAGTGTTATAGTCATATTATAGGTAATATTAATATTTCAAAAATCATATGCTAATGAAAGAAAAATACAAATTTAGATATTCATTGTCAAAGGTAAAAAAGGTTTTACTTAGGATAAATTAAAATGTACTTTAAATAATACATTAAAAACATATTTTCTAGAGGTAACATAATTATAATAAGGTGACATCTAGATTTGAATCTCCAATTACCATGAAAGTTGAATTTCTAACATTCAATTTAAAATTAATAGCTGGTGTGTCAAAAGCGTTCCACACAAACACCATGTGGGATGAAAAAATTAGAACAACATTGCTATGTGATGTGCTGGTTTTGATGATAGTTATAATGAGTGTAGGTTTTTGGTATTATACTACTGAAAATCAAATTAGCTGAAGGTTGAAAAAATAGATTTTACATTTAAAAAAATTATATCAAATGTAAGTAGGAAACATGTAGTATTGTTGGCCATAACCAACGTATAGGTTTTGAGTTGTTGTAAAAAAAACGTATAGGTTTTGAGTTTTGACAACAGATCCTGAATATTAATCTAGCAAATCATGTACTATTCCTTTCAAATTTATAAAAAAGTAATGCCACAGTGTCCAGAAACGATCAATTAATTTTTCGCTTTAACTAGTTAAGTGCCCGTGCGTTGCTACGGGAACAAAATAATATCCAACCACTTTAGCATGAAGCGAGCTACAGCCACAACCGAGGTCGGTGGACATGTAGGCCGACACTTATTTTGGTGCATCAGGATTCGACGATGGCGAAGACAATAGGCAGGCCGCCTCTCATTTTCTATTTCTTCATTTGTTAAAGAAAATGCTAGAATCTTACAAAGAGTGCACTAAACACTTCAACAGACAAATGCCACTGGCCAATGAAATAATGCTATTATGTACCATGTGTGGATCCGACAAGAATGGACTTTCAAAATTGAAATCCTAGTCCTTAGCCATTTTAATTTAACACTCAGAATTCTTCTTTGCATTCAGACACTAATATGTTATACACCGTCTCTCAATCATGGTAGCAGTACCGTTTATGATATCTTATATTATTATCATTTAATTCTCTTTTCACAAACAACTGGAAAGAAAAACCTCAGGCTCACGTCGCCAGACCTTGTAAGTCATGTTGGAAGTAGTGTGCACATCCAGCTTGCCAGTTGCGAGGTAGTGTGCGCCCTTCAGCGCTCCTGGTGCGCTAAATGACCAGCACAACCTCAGTATGATTACCAACTTACTTGAGTGCTGTTGGGGAAATCTGAAGAAGATGGTGGTTTGAAACTTGAAAGAGATGGCAACTGCAAAATCATCAGCCCTATGCACTCTCCCATAAGTTGAGAGCTCAAACCACCAAAACGTCAAAGGCACATCTGTATGTGGTGAACTCATTATATTAGCATAGACAAGTGAGAAAAAAGGCACATTGAAGTTTCGATGAGGGTACATCTGCATCATCAGGTCTCAAACATTAAAAGGAATAGAATGCATAAGAAAGCAGCATGTAACAAGGCATCAGTGGTACTTAGTTACTTGGTTACCAGTTTTATAGAATAAAACAGTAATTATGAAACCAACCTAAAGAGCCTAACCATGGAAGTGTCAATATCAACACCTCAAACCAAGGAACAGAGGAGGATCTTCTCTTCTGTATCTTCAAGGATTCTTGTTGGTGGCATCTTCAGGTCACCACAGGGATTTTTTTTGAGGTTGAAGCGTCTGCCTTCCCTTGCTAGTTTGCTGCAAGACCGTTTAGATTAAAAATTGAAGTGTCAGGCCATGCAACTGCGAAAACCGGCAGTATCTATATAAAAAACAAACTAAATACTACAATTGCTACTCCAAAATGTACTGTTGTTATTTAGGTGGTCATTTATCTATTGACAAGAAAAATTGTCATTATATGAACAAAGGTACAATAAAAACGGCATACATTCTGAATCAGTAATCAAATGAAGTATCATTGAAATACAAAACGTTTTAGACTTCAAAATATTTCTACATAGTCTGAATCAGCACATCAATAAACGTCGAAGAATTAAATATAAGAACATAGCCTCGAGATGTATCTGAAAGTACCGAGAATATAGCACCCTCTTTTTATGCAATACATGGTGTTTGAACTAAACAACATGCCCACATGCTAGCAAATGATAAAAGATTATGGATTCCCATCCTGTAAGTAAAATCTACTAATAGTGCTTTTCTTGCACTCAATCTCTCCTAATAGCTCCTCTGACTTACAGTCATAGTCTCATGGACCATACTCCGTAGAAGAAGCGAACCACTTTACACAAACCATAATGTTTTTGCAAACACAAAAAATTAAGCCAAAAGATCATCTAAAATGTCAGAGGCAGTATAACAATTAGATCGCAGAATGGAGTGCTTCACATAGTGAATGCAGAAGCACAAATTAGCTACACATAACAGTGTCATATGACAGATAAGTTGAGGTGGATATAAAATTATTAAAATAAATCACAAGGAAAAGGTTGTACCACACTGATCAAACATTGGAAGCTTGCCAAAAACTTGATTTCAGGCAGACAATGAGTGAAAGACCATGTATTCGAAGGTACAGACTACAGACTGATTGAGTGTGAAGACATCAAATCTGTATTCAAATAGAACGGGTGTAGAACATGATTAAACTCACTTTCAGTGCTGACGTACACAGAGCATGGACCAAGTTCGAAAGAGTTCAATATCAATCGAAGGCCTCATTGCCCTTCTGGTAAAAAACAGTTGCTTATGTTCATAATCATTCTTAGAAATAACCATGTGGCAGATCATCCATGTGTCTAGAATGTATTTTTTTGACAAGAAAACGAACAACCCAATTTGTATTCCTTCCCGTTCCTCTAACTAAACTAACTGAAGGAACATATATCTTAGCTCTAGGAGAACAGTGTCTATACTTCATTACTGACAACAGTTCCAAGCAAACAAAAGCATGGCCCTTCTCATGTAGACAAGACAATCAGTCTAGAGTTTCCATGCAGTCTGATAGTTGTTGCACCCTATACTACTGTACTGTCTCCATGATCACAAAGGCCAGAAAAAAGGGGCAGCACTCACATCGCACTGTGCATCTTACCAATGCAACAGAACCCACTGATGATCTCTTTAAAAGTTTGGATATCTGGCTCGAACCCCATTCCTCTCGATCAACTTGATGACATAGAGAAGCATTCACTTGCCAACTGGTACTAACTGTCAATCAGTGCATTCCGTACTAAGACGAAACTGTGAGCTTTCCCAGGCATAAATTTCCAGATCTCCTATCTGCATATGCATTTAAAAGATTTAGTTTTTCAATGAAATACAAAACAATAGAATCAAAAGAGCACCAATTTGTAAAGTAACACCCAACTTACCTTTTTTCAATGAAATACAAAACAATAGAATCAAAAGAGCACCAATTTGTAAAGTAACACCCAACTTACCTCTCAGCGCCAAAGAACTGACTCTGATTCATCTTCTAACACATCAGCATTGAGGGAAGGGCCATCTTCAAATTTTGTAAGGTTAAATATGTGCACATCTGAAGCCTAAATACTTCACTACTGAGATCACCAGACATGACTGCTATTTATATGCTGCAAAATTTAAACAACTATTTCTTCACTGCAGCAGGAAAGTAAAGTTGACAAAAAGTGTATGGATGGTTCAGCTAACCTGGGAGTGGCAACGCCGTCGATGACGGTATATTAGGACCCTTGCCCTGCCTTCTGCGCACCTGCTCCAGCAGCAGGACCTTCACAACGACGTACTCCGACCTTTCAGTACCAATCCTCTTGCTGCTGCACCACCACTGCCGCAAGGATGAGATGACCCCTTTCCCCTGTTTGTTTGGTTGATCCAAGTTTGAAGTGCCTCATTACTAAGCAGAATTGCTGTGATGTACTTCTAGAACTGAAGCAGACAGTAGTAACTATTAAGTTGCATGCACCGACCAATTCAACCCAAAAGCTTAAGTTGATGGGGAGAGGTGGGCAATTCACTTATATTCCAACACTCCCCCTCACGTGGTGGCTCCCTTAGGCCTCAGACGTGGAATAGGAGCGAGCAGCAATTATTTTATTTAATTGCGCTAACCAAGATTCGAACTCGAGACCTCTGGCTTTGATACCATATTAAGTTGTATGCACCGACCAATTCAATCCAAAAGCTTAAGCTGATGGGGAGAGGTGGGCAATTGTAACCAACAGTAACGCTGAAATTAACTGCATTAGTTTCAGGCTTCACTAATTCAGAACATCTAGAACTGGAGTGCAGGCAATGCAATGTTCACACATTACGGACCTAGGAGTATCTACTTACAGAATAGATCAGTGCACATGTAAACTGTAGTAGTAGTAATTGACAGTTAAGAATGTTTATAACTCGATGGGCTCAATACTGGAATCCTATTTTGTAATTTATTTTCCTCTATATAAATTCTACAAAATTATGGTATATACTCTTTACGTGTTTTTTTAATGTTTTAGAATTGAGGATTTCAGGTAGGTAAGAATAGCAGAATCCAATCAACCAAAGGCATCACGCTGCTAAATTTAATTTAAGTGCATTCACGCCGCCACACCAGCAGCTGACCATCTCGTGGCCACAGCGCCACAGCAGATCAACCATCGTGCAGCTCCAATATGTTGGCAAGCAGGAGAAGGGAGAAGGGAGAAGGAATCCCAGTTCCCAGAAGGTGAGTAGGGGACTCACCTGGTCGAGATCCGAAGAGAAGCTTGGCGGCGGTTCCCTATTGCTCGTCGTGCACTGTCGCCGGCCGATGGAGGTGGGCGCGCGCCGCTGCCGTGGTTCGGTGAGGAAGAACCTCGCCGAGGAGGACAGGGAAGGGCAGCGGACGGCGGGATCACCTTGTTCGGCTCCTGGTTGTCTGGTTGGAGGCCGCGCACGTCCCGCCTGCGCCGCCGGGATGCCGCGCACGGATGCCTGCGCCGCCTATGCCGCCGGTGCCGGAGTCGCCGAATCCCTCCTTGGCGGGCCGGTGCCTGTAGGAAGACCGAGTGCGCGCGCCTGGCCGCGCTGCTCGATTTGCCGGAATACCCCGGCGGTCGGCTCGCGCGACGCGGCACCGGAGCCGGCCCACCGGCTGCTACTGTGCTAAGACGCAGGAAGACGGCGGCGGGACGACGAGCGCGTAGAGATCGGGACTGCGAGGACCTCACGGGGCAGACGGAGCTGCAACTGCGGTTATGCGGGAAGGAGGCAAACGAGCTGGGCTTCGTGTGCGGGAGAAGGGGGCGAGCTGGACGTCGTGCGCGCCGGCGGTTCCGCGGACGCGCGATACAGGGAGCGGAGCGGGGGTCATTAGCGGGGCAAAAACGATGACATTTGGGTCTTTTTAGTTGTAGAGAAGAAAGATCTCACTTGCAGTTGCAGAGGGTTTTGCACTTTGGAGGATGGGTTCGATTCACTCACTTGAGACGGCAGAACTTTGGCTCGGGGAACCGGGCTTACCGTGGCCCTTGGATGGGCATCAAGATTCGTGCTTCTGTTCCTCCCCAACCTGTGCTCTACGTCCCCGGCGCGCAACCACCCCCCGGCTCCGTGCTCTCCTTCCCCGGCACCGGCCGCCGCCCCCCGGCGTCCACGGGCCCCGGCCGTCCTCCCCCCACTGGCGTCCGCCGGCCCCCGCCGCCGCCGCCCCTTCGCGCCCGCCCCCCGGCGTCCAGCAGGGAACAGTCGGGTGGTCGGGGCAGGCGGCCTGTCAATCTCCGAGATCCACAGAGACGCTGCCGATGGCGAAGCCGAGGAAACCCCGCACCTCGGCTCCAGATCCGCCCGTATCCGCCGCTCGGCTTCCGTGGCACCCACCGGCACCGCCGGTCCCCACGGCCGTTCTGATCTCGCTCGCCGCGCTCCTCGTCCGCGTGCTGGTCTCCGTGGGCCCCTACTCCGGTCAGGGTGCGGCGCCCAAGTTCGGCGACTACGAGGCGCAGCGGCACTGGATGGAGCTCACCCTCCACCTCACGCCCTCCGACTGGTACCGCAACACCTCCGACAATGACCTTGCCTACTGGGGCCTGGACTACCCGCCCCTCTCCGCCTACCAGAGCCTCCTCCACGGCCGCATCATCAACGCCTCACTACCCGAGGCCGTCGCGCTCCGCTCCTCCCGTGGCTACGAATCTGTGGAATCGTATGCACCCGCCCCAGTAGATTTTTTCTGCTCGTTGCGTGTAAAATCGTGTGTTGTTAAAGGTTTGCTGTTGAATTGGTCCACTAGGAAGTTGCTGATGCGGTGGACGGTGCTGTCGTCGGATCTGTTGGTGTTCTTCCCTGCTGCTTTGTGGTTTGTGTGGGCATACATGAAACTTGGAATCGGTGGAGAGGAGAGACGGGAGGGGTGGATGTGGCTGCTATCCATGGTCCTGATGAGTCCTTGCTTAGTATTGATCGATCATGGCCATTTTCAGGTGAGTTTTACTGCACTAACTAATAATGTGTGTGATTTAGGTGGGGCAAGTGCGCGGACCAGCAGAGTGCTTTGCGTTGCATTTTGTTTGTAGGCTAACAACTAGGTGTTGTATTACAGTATAACTGCATTAGCCTTGGACTTACGCTTGGAGCAACTGCTGGTGTTCTGTCGAGGAATGAGCTTGTTGCTGCAGCTCTCTTCACTCTTGCAATAAATCACAAACAGGTTTGCCTTATGTCTAGAAAATTATGTTCATTCAGTGGTTCATAAGCTTTGTTACCATACATGTACGGTCAAACATCCTAGAGAATGCTATGCTTTTGTAAGTCCACACCTTTCTAATTACACAATGTTGTGAAACAGACCCAGTGGATACTTCGTTACTTAGATCAGGAGGTTGTCACTGAGAATACAAAGTAGACCCTATGATCCAACTGAAAATCGCGTCAACAACCAACAAAATTGTTAATTTTATTCTTTACCTTTATGCTTGAGTCCTAGTATAAATAGTGATTGGCAATGGATTGTTAAGATGTGATGCTGGACTGGGGACTACCTACCCTCTTTTTTTTTTTTTACATTTCATCCTGAAATACTCCCTCCGGTCCTGTATATCTGGCGCGACAAGGTTAATTCCAGAGACCAAGAAACGTATTAACTGCATGTTAACAGCCGCGCCGCATGCATGAACCTGCTGAGAGAAAACGCTTCCTACCTCATCGCTGGTAGGTGAAAAAGGCAACCTGCTGAGAGTACGCATGCATGAACCGCTTCGTTGCTAGCCACCGTGCATGCAACACTTCGTTCCTGGCCATTCGTTTAAACTGCACACTAATTAATTTACTCTCGGTATCCCCACTCCGCCAGATATTATGGCCAAAACAAAAAATGCCTGTACGCCAGATATACAGGACCGGAGGGAGTAATAGTTAATAAAATATGCTATCATAAGGCATGCATATGTATTGGTGCAGTATTAGTTCTCAACTGTTGATTCATACATCGTAATTATTGGATTGTCAGCTCACTCAAATTGGCAATATAAGTGGGGATCATTACATCCTGTCAATTATTTTGATGAGATCATGGGAAAGCCACAATGATACACATGCACAGTTGCACACATACCCAATCTATACATGAACTTTAGTCTATTATAATGTTTACGACCCTTCCAAGTGACTAACCTAGGGCACTTGATGCCCATTAATACAAAGAATTTGTTAGATATGGTTTCAAGTTCTAATATCCCATGACTTTCCTATATATCTTACAACTTTATAATGTGCTGCAGATGAGCCTGTACTTTGCACCAGCTTTTTTTAGCCATCTTCTGGGGAAGTGCCTCAAACGAAAGTATCCTATTGTCGAAGTTACGAAACTTGCTTTTGTGGTCTTGGGAACTTTTGCTCTTGTCTGGTGGCCATTTTTGCATTCTCATGAGGCTGCCCTACAGGTAATGATCAATTATACTCTCCTGTTACTTTATGCTCAAGGAAACCATTTTAAAGGGCGTACCCAGTGCAGAGAGCTCCCGCTCTGTGCGGGGTCTGGGGAAGGGTGTCAGTGGCAAGCCTTACCCTCGCCTGTGCAATGCGAGGAGACCGTGACTCGAACCCGGGACCTTCCGGTCACAGGTGGTAAGACTCTACCGCTTGCACCAGGCCCGCCCTTCAAGGAAACCATTTTATATTGCTGAATTATATCAATACAACCAGTAGA